GTGCGAGTGCCCCGGTATTGAATGGAGCTGAAGGCCTCAGGAAAGTGGCCGAGCTTCCTGAAGCGCTCCTGCAGCAGCCTCTCCACAGACTCGGAGGGCTTATCTACAGGATAGAACAAGGAGAACGGTTATTTGTGAGAAGAGAGACACGTGTGGGACATAACATTGTATAGAAGGATATATTGTTAACCATCAATATATAATACACGCGTATTAATCCAAAATCAACCCAGAGAACTATTCTGGCATGCAAAAATGACCTCAGGCCACTGACCTGACCCAAGCAGCTTAGTGTGCACAGTCTCGTGGAAGATGATGACTGCAGGCCCAAGGGTGGAGAGTGGCACGTCCAGGCCACACCGGGCAGTGGTAGCCTTCAGCTCCTTGGTGAAGTGCTTCAGATACGCATCCGAGGCATCGCCGAGAAACTTGAACAAGTCATCGTGGAGACGGTCGGCGTGCGTGCGGTAGATGACCAGGTCGGACACAGCAAGGACCTTCAGTAGCAGTCGGGTCCGCTGGCCCATTTTGGAACTGGCTCCCAGCAGCCCCTCTGTGTCGATCACCACCACGCCGTGGATGGGGTCCAGCGCGGCCCACACCCCAACCGTGCAGGAATCCTGGGTGGGTGAGGTCTTGAACACCTCCCTGCCCAGGAAGAAGGTGTGGTTCAGCGTGTGAGACTTGCCCTCCCCCGTGTTTCCAAAGATGGAAACCACTTTCAGGAGGTCATCCGGCCTGCAGTCTAGCTTCTTGACAAATTCTTCCTCATCCTTCACCTAAGGAGCAGTTTCATTTGAAGAGACAACATCATTAGTGCAATGGCACATACAAGCAGACCTAGGGTTAACGAACAAATATCACCGTGTGAACATGATTGTGATCATTTTGATTTTCCAATGAAATGCTTATTGCTTGTGTTTTTCAGTATGTTACGGTGAAGTGTCATGCTGAAAGGGTAATCCAAGACATCCAAACGTTCAGAAGAAAAGAAATGTGGCAAATTAATGAAGAGAACGTGTTCAATATCCCAACCCTTGCGTTTTGGGGGGAGCTTTTTTGCATCATCCCTGTTCTACACTGCTAGAAGTATCTAAGCACTGACTGGCCCATCACAGCGTTGAGTTCCACCTCATGCAGACACACAAACACACCTGTATCTCCTCATTGTCGTCCACAAGGAGGAAGCTGCAGACTTTCTCGAGAAGCTTCGCCTTCCGAGTCTCCGGGTCGTCTTCCCCAGCATCGGGACCAGCCTCCGGGCTCTTGCACGGAGGATAGAGGGAGAGCGGGTGTTTCCTTTTGTTCACCCCGCTGTGGGTCCGCTTCTGGCAGTCCAGGCACAGGTTGGTCTTGCAGCCTTGACAGCGGACCACTGCCCTCTGCCGGCCGCCGTTCCCCGCGCCGGCGCCGCCTCCCTTGCAGCTGTTGCAGAAGGGCACGTGGCCGGGTCTGACGCGAGTCCGCTCGTGGTTCCTCAGGCGCTCCTGGCGGTGGAGCTCGAGCTCGCAGCGCACGCACTGCAAGCTGCCGCACTCGTCGCACTCGTACACCGCCTCCTCCGAGCCCCCGCACGCGTAGCTCTCCTGACACACCAGGCTGGTGTTCACTCCCTTTTCCGAGGACGGACCTTGGCCACTCATTGTCGTTCGCTTAATGGATGCTCACACAAGTTCATGCAAATAAGAAGCTCTACAGGGCCACAAACTAGGTTTTCTTAATACTTAGTGCTTTATCCGCACAATTATACTGGAAAAGACTTTAGCCCTTACACCTTGATCTTGCCTTTGTTTCATGTGACGTTAAAGCTTTTTTACAATTTAAGCTTATTGCAAACAATCTTAATCTCGCTGACTGAAGTGAAGACAAATCTCTTAAATAATGTTTAAATAACGTGATGACTTTGTAAATAAGAAACTTTACATAGCTTGGTTCAATATACACGTGAAATCTTAAATATCGTTATAAAACCAAAACAAAGCAGATGCAAATGAAGAAATGAGTGGACGAATGATTTTTGAAATGTGCTGTTTGTCTACAATAAACCTGAATTCAGAACGGAATGCTTACATTATTAAAGTATCCCTATATTCTCGCATTTCGTTTAAATTCGTGTTATAAGGTCTAAAAAAGGCATGCTTATTCTCGCAATGCCTTGATTTCAGATTGCCTTCAAAAACAGTTTCAAAATTCTCAAACCAAAACTATATCAACTGAGCCTAGAAAAAAATCGAGTACGACGTTTTAATCGAAATAATAAACGTAAAGCAGTCCACAATTCTACCTTTAATATTAACCGTAAAAAAACGACACTAAAAAATAATGTAGTATCAAATATATCTCCCTGAAATACTTAAGTCATAACGTCAATATATTAAAAACATTTTTCCAATATCTTAAACAGTTGCCGTTTGCTGTATACAAGCACAATTAAATGAGGTATGCCGTTTTTAAATAAATGGACACTTAAAAAGACAAAATCGATCACTTAAATAACATAGAAAAATCGAATTTTTATATTCATAAAAAAAAACAAGCGCCCCATGTAACAACATAAGATAGTGACTCAGGAATCCTTTACCGCTTGGTTTGAATATAGCACTGTTTTCCTATTTAAAGAAATTGCAAGAACCGTTTCAGCACTGTAAAACAATAATAACGTTACAAAAAAAGTACTATAACGCAAATAAAAACGAAGGTTTATATTACAAGTATTTAACTCCCCAGAAGATCTCTTTCTATGTTGTTGCCAGGCTAGATCAGCTGATCGGGTTATTTTCAGTCGCAGGCCAAATGTCAGGGTGGAGAGATCGTGCTAAAAACACAGCATTCTGGGAGCTGTAGTCTTTGGTGTACTTAATTACTATACGGAGCTGCTATTTATAAGATTAAGAAATACCAATTCGCCTACAAGTACGCTTTTACATTCAATTTCAAATAAATTCCTGCTTATTCCTTCTCTCTTCGAAACTGGCGTTATTTAAAGATTTTTGTTGAGTTTTCTTCACAATTTAGCTGTTTGATAATAGAGATGCCGTAAGAGTGAAATTCGTATTCTAAAAACGGAATTTTGAACCTTAGAAATTAAAGAATTGTGACATTCTGAAATGCTACAAACTTATTTCCTACTACACGTTTTTCTGAAGAGAAACACATCTCCGTCGTTTATTCTCGACTGTTTCCAGAAACGTTTTTAATTTCCAGAAAACGCAATCCACTAGAAAGATAGACTTTATTAACAGGAGACATCACGCTACTTAACTTCACCACGATAATATAATCTATCGTCCCTATCACCTATTATAGCGTCTCTCGTGCGCGGGGAATTGTGGGATTCGTACAAATCCGACGTATTCTTGGGTAAACAATGTAAAAAGCAAATCGTTTCATATTCAGCAACTTTGTTTAATGGAAAGATTTATTATCATTCCAAACAACCTCCCTCTCTAATGCATACCTGACGGTTCTGCAACCATATTTTTTGTGAACAAAGTTTTCATTTTCTATTTCGGTCAACAATTGTATCAAAGTCAGTAAGAACTACATCTCCCATGGGTCAGCTGGTGCCTTCAAAGTGTTTACATCATTTCTGTGCGCTGTTTAAAGCAGGTTGTGGTGGATTTTACGCTTCTCTGTATGGTACAAGTTATGTTTTTATAAAGGGAATACGCATGTGGTTAGTAATGCTACTGTTATTTTGCACTGTGAATAATATGTAATTTTAGGCAAAGTATGCTTTAGTTGCTGCTTCGTAAAATACACAGTATGTCTGAGGACAAGTACAGCGATATAAACGGCAATACTATATTGCTGAATAGCTGCAGTCATTCAAGTTTCTGCAGAGAGTTCACTATCAGCACTCCAAAGGTGTCTCTGCGCAAGATAATGGCGTACACGTGTTCAGTGTGGCTGATCGCCTATGCTGTTTTTCTTATTACCGAGGTAAGTTTTAAAAAAAGTCCTGTTAGTGGGGTCCATGGCAGTTTCGTGCAGTGCTGAGTGATATCAGCTGCCCATATAGTAAGAACTAAAGGTGTGGGGGGGATAAAGCATGCTTTGTTACCCATAATCATAAAAAAAAAGTTTTTAAAAGGTTACCTCAGAATAAGAAAATACTGTAACGCTTACGGCCGACAGGTACTGTGTAAGAGCCGGCGTACCAGAGCAGGTGACGTCACCGCCCTTCCCTGTGATAGCAGGACCACAGCTACTGGGCTGTGGAGAGATCTCTCTTTGGCTCACGGGGCTAGGTCGCTGCAGAGAGACGCGGAAGTCCCGGGTTCGAGCCCCGGACGGTGCAGGGGCCGACCTGATGCGGCAAGGGCGCCCGCCTGAGCCCCCGTTGCGTTACAATACGTTTGTCAAACTTATTCTGGTGTAAAGTTCGTTACAGCAGTTCTTACTATTTGTTTTTGAATATTTAAATGAGCGCAAGAGACGACGACACAAGTGTGAGATACTGCTGGGGTGGTTTATGCTTTGTTTTGTAAATACAGTGACAGCTACTATGTGTTAGCAACAGTTACCAAAGGAAAGGAAATGTCTTTGTGTGTTTGACACTGTTCAGAAATCTGCTCTTATATGCAAAATTGCCATGTTTTTCACTAGAGTGGAAGTTGCGTTTTTAATAACGCGTGCCCTTCCATTCTTCACCGTGCATTTTAATCCTTTTTAGAATTGGTCGGATTTGCTTTATTTTGAACCCAGCAGCTGTTGGATTGCAGAAACAAAGTTGACATCTTTCTCTGGATACTAATCGCATGCAAGCGTCATAAAGAGCAATGCATCCTGATAGAAGCGACCCTGCTTTTTAGATGTATGCACAATTGATTGAGATTTACAAAATAACAATGTAACACAAGGATAAAAAAATGGGTTAGAGTAGAGTACAACATATGACTTATTCAACTGATGCCTTTGACCAAGGCGATCTCCATGAAAAACCATTAGGGTTGAAAAATAAAACAGTACAAATGTATGTTGTTGTTGATGATATGTATAGTACCGTAAGAAGAAAAGAGTCATTTAATCCAATACTTCAACATGAAGCTATATATAACCAGTCTAAAATATACAGAAATGGACAGTAGGAAAATGTTTAATTTGCCAGCAGCCATATCACTCTGCAACTCGCAACTAGCAACCCACTGAAGCTCAGCAGGTGTGAGCCTGGTCAGTACCTGGATGGGAGACCTCCTGAGGAAAAACTAAGGTTGCTGCTGGAAGAGGTATTAGTGGGCCCAGCAGGGGGCACTCACCCTGTGGTCCATGTGGGTCCTAATGCCCTAGTATAGTGAGGGGGACACTATACTGTCAACAGGCGCCGTCCTTCGGATGAGACGTAAAACTGAGGTCCTGACTCTCTGTGGTCATTAAAAATCCCAGGGTGTTTCTCGTAAAGAGTAGGGGTGTAACCCTGGCGTCCTGGCCAAATTTCCCATTGGCCCTTACCAATCATGGCCTCCTAATAATCCCCCTCTATGAATTGGCTCTCCTTCCCACTGATAGCTGATGTGTG